GTTTTCCTCCACCGCTCTTTTTACCGATGAAAACTTCTACATCTAAGCCGTAGGGCCTAATTTTCGTTCACGATTTAATCTTATATATATATATATATATATAATGTGTGTGTGAATAAAATACCTGTGGCAAGTATTAAATTCCGCGCTTTGCGTGTTTCTTAATAATTAAATTTCTTAAGGAATATGATAAATAGATAAATATGATAATAAGTAAAAATTGTTAATTTTATTGAAAAAATTATCAGAACAAGCATATTTTTTCGTCTCTTTGCTATTTTATGAATATAAAAAAAAAATATAAAATTACAGTTTGAAAGTTAAACACAAATTATTCGTCAATATATATCTAATAGATTTATTCAATTTGAAGGAATATTGCAATGGATGCTTTTTGCGCGACACGGAGAATATCCGCTGTCGTAATTTACACAGACCTCGGCATTTAAAAGAATTATAACAAACTTTCTACTATCTCCCGGTACGTTTCACGTTCCGGAGAAACGTGAATGGCTTGGCCCAATTCGGGGCGAAAAAAGATTTTTTTGTGCCGGAAAATGGAAAAGTGCTTCAATCAACGGAGACAAAGGATGCAAGATCGGTGCTGAAAAATGCGTTCTTTATGTATTCCCTCTTTTCGCCCAATGGCTGCTATTGAACCGTGCATGTATTGTACGCATACGGCTTTATGACGGGCTAATTTAGCAGCAACGTAAGCCAAAACAGTGACAGCATTTATCGTAATGCAATTGATAAAAAATATAAGTTATTGCTATTTACAGCGCAATTTAAAGTTTAAAAAATTATTTGAATTTAGTAATATTAATTAATTCCATGCCATACTAGTATCTCGTATACAAGTCATCACATCGTTGCATTATTTACTGAATTATTGTTTTAAATATACTTTCTTTTTTCACGCTATATTATTATATGTATTATTTATAGCAAAATTGTTTTGCTTTTATTACATGAAACATTACCATCTTTTTAATAAGCCATAATCTCGATAATAATTCACGCATTTGACAATATCAGTTGTTCAACAATATTTAATCGAAATTTAAAATCAATAATACCATAAATAATTTTTCTGAAAACAAATATATTTGCGGGATTTTTTAAAATAGTAGCACAATCCTATACACAACATGAAATGTAAACAGAGTAACATTTACCAAGATCCAAACGCACGTATATAACACGTATCGTTGGGTAGAACGTTAGGTTACAATAACCGTACAAACGCGATGTTCGATATTCGATCTATTTGGGTCACGATAAACAGTGGGATCCAAAGTTCTAGACAAACATCCAGAATCAGCACTCGACAAAGTCGATACCTCTATTTGCCCTGCACAAAGAGATCGAATTCGACGCACGAATGATTATGTACGAAATTGTTACACGAGGAACTACGTGGACTACGTGTTCCTCGGGGCGACAGCTTAACTTGTACTAATCTAATTGACGAGCCTTGAGGTCGACCTCCTTTGGCACCGTTGCCCTGGCTGAACGATGATCCCTGCAGGCTACATCGTAGACATGACGATGTAACATATGAATATCTCATACGTACACGTATATGTTGCGTTTACATGACTAAGAGCGCAAAGTACATATCGTACTTTGATGTCGTTCGCATTTGATGATGTGATTCTTTCATGCGTTAATTAATTACGCAAAAAATTTCAAAATTCTTCATTAACTTCATCTCTCACGCGCGTTAAATTTATCCTTCACAACGCTTACGTGTTCTTTATAGGAGATATATATCTCATATTATTTCGTTTATTTCATAAAATATAAAATGTGAAATCTTGATTTTTTTTTCATCCAAATAAAAACGACACGGTTCTTTTTTTCCGCAGTTTTTCTGCGCAATATAATTTCCTTTGAGAGAAGTACACGACGGCGGTTTCTGTTAGTTTTCTAGAAAATTTCAATCTCATCTATTTTCTTTTACAACGTATTTCGTCCTTAAACTAATTTATGCTAGTCTATATATTTAGTTATATATAATATTTTTATCAGGAACAAGAAAATTTTTCTGTTAAACTGCGATTTTTAATAAAAGCAACTACAGAAGAAAGAATTGTAAAATTGAAGAAATCATTCGAAATAAACATCATGGTTTATTCAAGATACGTAAGGTAATTTACATAATAAAAGCATTTAAATTTCCCTTTTTGATAATCACGCGCGAGCTATTAACTAAACGATGTAATTAAATCGATCGAAGTGTAATTACATTACTCGCGTTTCGCTCGCCTGCTTTAGCTAGGAATGTGCTCTGACGCATCTTGCAGCTATTTTCTCATACAATATGCGTATACGGTATAATCAATTGAGATATGTATTTACTCGAAACGCGTAAGTTGCGATGTACTAGTTAATCGTACGCGCCGTTAATTGCGCAAGTAGACAGATTCTGTCAGGAAAGAGACTCGCACACATTATGTCTTCATTCGTGCAATGTTACGATTTTCGACTGTCGGCGCCGTTTCATGATGCGTCGTCTCTTATGTGAACCATTCTCGACACAGACGCCACAAAGCTATCTATGAGATTTAATGGACGCTTTGGACACGCTCTCCCGGGTGCTCCGCTCTTGAATTAATAAGGAAATGCGGCACAAGCTCTCGCCACGACGTACCTTGAAACAAGAGCGATAAAATAGAATATGGTTTCATGAGGCAAAGATATAACTTAGTTTATTAGAGTAATTTGGCTCGTTGGATGAAATAATGATGTACCTTACATGATTCATAGTAAAAAATAAGTAGAAATAAAATTTTTATATACATTACATACAGAGAAAGAGCTCTTTTGCGATTTCCATTAACATAATATAATATTTTTAATTATGATCTAAAATAAAATTATAGATGAAAGAAAAAAAGAATTTTACATAAAATATTTTTGTCAGACACTCGAATATTTAAGTTATATTTGATAAAAAAAGTAATCGAGGTTTCAAATATATTTCAATTATAGTATTTTTTCTTTGATTTTCTCGATTATTAATGATTTTATTATATGAATAACTGACCGACTTCTTTATGGCTCTAACATAATTAAAACAGATTTGTATGATTAATTCACAAAATTAATTTTTTTGGTAGTTATAATTGGTGTGTACTCTTTAAATACATTTGCAGAGAACAGAGATATATAATATTGTACTTTCTACGATTACTTTCTACAATTAAAGTCAGATATATGTTCAATACCTGCACGAGCACGTTCGTGCAGCAAACGAGGCGTTGAATAGCGGAATGTATCTCAACCTATATATTATGAAAATTGGATAATTTCAATTTTTGAGCTTAGTATAATTTTTATTTCTTTTACATTCTCGATTAAACATCCAAATACCGTTTTTGTGAAATTTTGTCGAAAAATGTGCTATGTATTTATATTATATAAATATTATATAATCTATATATTGTATAATTAATACGCCAACTACGAAATTGAATTTGAACAATATTAAACTATTTTAACGCAAACTCAAAAGAATATTGAGAGATGTGTATCCTTGACCAAAATACTGTATCTTTGTACAACATCGTTGCAAACACGGGATGAAAACTTTTAATAAAGCTTGCACGCTGCATTGCGGTTTGGAGTTTTATGTTATACTCCCTAAGGTAAGCAGACTCGTAAACGAGGTCATCCACACAATGTTGAAAATTGCGCCTGATTATATAGCGAATTGTATTCATTTCCAAGCTCTTGATCGACATCTTTCTTTTGAATTTTAATCAGCACCGCATACGTCATGCGCATACTGATATTGCTAATATTCCACATTTCACTAGATAAAATATTTATATAAGAATAGTTCTTTTTTTATTATAATTCTGTCTTTGCGTATATCATTACTAAGAACTTACAACGTTGTTTCATAATTTTATATTTTAATAAAATTATTTTTATAAATATTATATATATAAAGAGCAAATATCATTATCAATATCTTTATCTTACCGAAAAATATTATTACAATATACGGCTTTATAGGGTGGGCCCAAACGTTCCGCCCAGACCTTGAGATTTTATAGAAAATTTAATTCTGAACAAAAAATTTCCTATAAAAATGGGTTGAAAAATGCTTCCTTAAAAACTTAAGGCCTATACTGCATTCACGGAGAGAACAACCTCGCTTCGCGCAGCTTTGGGCGGAGTGGGGATTAGGTGAGAGACTTCAGCGCGTTACTTCAATGCCGTATGCGTATCGATCATATTAACTTTCTAATGTTTGAAAGAATTCATTAAGGAATGCGCGGGTCTCCTTTGTCAATTAGCCGGATCTGCAAGCTGCAAGACCAATATTGACAGCATAGAGGGGGCAAAATGGGCGGTCGATCGGGCGGGATCTGACCGAACCGGACGAAAAGCGAGGTTGTTCTCTCCGTGAACGCAGTATAGAAACCTCTGAAATCACGGTTATTTTATACATTTTTACAAATATCAAGGAAAGCATGCTTTTTTTAACAAAAACGAAAGTTGTAGAGAGTTAAATTATCTTTCAAATAAGATCAAAATGATTGTAGTACGTTCCATAGGTTTTGAAATAACCTCGATACTTTTTGTTAAAAAATGCATTCTTTCTCTGATATTTGTAAAAATGTATAAAATAACCGTGATTGCAGATGTTTTTGGGCGCTAACTTTTTAAGGAAGCATTTTTCGACCCATATTTATACGAAACTTTTTGTTCAGAATTAAATTTCCTATAAAATCTCAAAGTCTGGCCGGAACGTTTGGGCCCACCCTGTATAAACGTAGAAAAATTTCGAAAAATTTTATTTATGCTAGTTTATTCTTATACAGACGTATTACATTTAACGATTTACATCATGCAAGTAGTATTTGACAGTTGCAAGAAAATATATAATCAAAACGTTTTGGCTAGATATTTATAATGTCTGTAATATATGTTTCTACACACATAGAATAATACACAAATACAATGTAAAATAATATTTGTTGCAGAACGAGCGAGGAGATCTAACGGACAGAAATGATTCGCGAAAGAACGTCTATCCTTATATTGGGATGCATAGGTGAGTTTTAGTCGTCATCAAAAGACGCCATTAAATCTTCTCCTTTATTTTTTACGATATGCGCCAGAGAGATACAGGTTGCATCCGGAGTAACGCTCATTACTCCGGAAAAAAGTCACGGCGCGGATCTGCATCTAAGCGGATTATGCACGCAATTTTTTATTTCACGTCGTATTGTGCGGGCGCGCGGCGGCGGCATTGCCGTCGTCAAAGAGAATGGGCGAGCATCTCTCGGTTGCATCCTGTTGCATTGTGAACTCGTGATGTAAAGCCTGCCAATCGAGGTGACTGCACCAGGTACTGTTAGCTTTAGTGCAGCGCCCACTTGCAAGTTAACTGTAACTCGCAGCTTAACAACAAAATCTTCCATCCCGCCTTGTGTTATCGCACAATCCATCGGTTCGTCCTCCTTTCATTTACAGCGAATATTGCCGATAAACATGTTCTGATCTACATTTAATCCTTCAGATACACAGATCGGCTAGACTGTAATATTGTATAGTCTAGGAAGAAATTTAAAATAAACATCCTCCTCCTTCATAGATACAGATTAAATCTTTCATATATATTTATTTATACAAAAAATATCGACGTGTATTTAAAAGAATCTTCGTGAATTTTAGTCAATGAATTAAAGTTTGATGATGATAGAAACTTCATAAAATTAGTTAATTAGCTAGAATGTTTGTAAGATAAGCACGTCTTAGCAACTGGTGATGCAATGAATAATGATACGAGTAATTATTTTAATGATGTTTCCAAGTAATTAAATGCGAATACTTAAGTATTTGACAACTGTCTGAGTGAAGGACTTATATATCTTATCCTTTTTAAATATTGTATTGCACTGTAATAATGAAGATGTTATCATACACACAAATGTCTTTATAGACATCTTTATAAACTTTATAGACATTAGAACTAGTTTAGCTCTCTAACTTTTCACTTAGATATATTATTGAGCAAGACTCGTTGTAATTATATAGACAACAATGTGAAAATTCTCAGTAATTATGTTAAGTTAAAAGTGTTGTGAGTGTAAAATGGAAGAGTTAGGAAACATTTATTATTAAAAGGCTTATGCTAAACAAATAATCTCGTAATTAATTAAATTTTTGTTTTAACTTTATTATATATTTTTATGTGAGAGAACGCGCAAATATATTGAATTATTCTATTCTTGTTTCTTCAATATAATTTTTCTGCGATATATAATAGAATGTAAAAAATTGAAAAACAATTTTAAATATCAAACAATGCGAGTTTGAGCAAGAATAAATGAAAATATATATTCTAAAAAATGTAGGAGATGTGTACTTTACAAATTAAATGGAAATTTATCTGTGCAGGAAACAAACTCAATTTTTCTATAGAAAATCGATATTTCACCATAAAATCTTTAGCGCCCGTCGCAAATGTAAATGTAGTAGCTTTAAGAGTATCGTAGTCAGGTGGAAAATTCTCACTGCGAATCTCTGTGCGCGTCAATAAAATAAATATTTATCTCTTTTTTCTCTTGAATAGTCATCGCGTATCAACGTAGATCAAGAGACAGTAGTGTCTCACGCCAAATCATGCGCATTATATTGTATTTTTATTATTTTTATAAATTATATAATTATCGTGATTGCTTAAAAGCGTTTCTCTCTTTGTTTTTATTATTATCTAATTGTTAAAAATAATATACTATACATCTAATAAGATTATAACAATCAAACCAAAAGCTAACAACTTGTGATATTTGAGAAATCTTATGTAAAAATCTCGCGCTTATATTAATTATGATATTATTATTCATATTGTTCAGATTTCGCAATAAAATGTTATAAAATTTTATTGTGTACAAATACTTCCGATTATCTAATAGAATCATTGATGCGATGATCAATTGAAACACTACTAAAATGAAATTGCAAATCTCTTCAGACTCATGTAAAACAAATCGGTAAAACTGCATAAAAGGTAACGCACCTCCGATTTTGTCGCCACTTAAATATATCGTAGGGGAGGTTCTTCTGAGTAATTCCCCGCAAGAGATAAATGGGGGACGGCATTGGTATAAGAGATATAACAAATTAAAGTTTCACGGTTTTAATGCTTTTTCTTGGGTATTATAAAGTAATATTAGGAAAAGTGGAGTTTGTGTACATTGTATTTGTTGTAAAACAGACATGGAAAAAGTGTTTGTTTACATTACGATATTTTGTCAATAATGTGTTTCATCTATTTCTCGCAGTTTGTCAACAGCTTTCAACATGCAACTAGGATAAATGTCCCAATTATTGCGAGTGTACCTATAACTGCCGTTTTATATATTTTATTTGATAAAAAAAAATTTGTAAACAAACATATTCAAAAAAAATTTTATAATTAAATCAATACTTTAATTTCTATAAAAACAAAAAATGACACGTATTTGTTTTTACTTAGTATTTA